TACGTAGAATTGATGTATAGAGCTGGTAACACCACCAAAAAATTTAAATTATGTAATTATCTAAAAAATCGCAAATATGTTTGTATGGAAAAAATATTTTTTTCAGATTCTCCATGCAAAACGACAATTTCATATGTTAACACCTAATATTATCATTGTTTTTTAACATTACAGTTGATTAATATAAACTCCCAGCCTTTCGTTAATTCCATTTTCAGTCTTTGTAAATCAATCAATGATTTTTATAGAAAAAATCAAGCAATAAAAATTGTGATTTAAATCATGATTTTAATCAACGTGATTTAAATCATGCAACCCTGGCTATCGTTTTTATACTTACCAGTTGGCACCCCTGGCGATTGACAGGACCTTACTCTACAGTGGCACCATCTTGATGAGTGAAAATGCGATAGTCCTCCTATCAATTTAGCGCTCACCGGTTGGTGCCACTGTCTTCGCTACTAGCAAGTGACAGGACCTTACTCTACAGTGGCGCTAACTGGTGAGCGCTAAAACGACAATTTTGGCTAATTTTTTTTTCCCCCCTTGGTGAGATTTCATGAGATTTTTCCTGACCCCCTCCCCCACCCCCTAATCTCACGTGAGATTTTCCAAAATGCCTATTTGCAATGTAAATGAGATAATACATGCTTCGGAAATATTAGATTTCATATAAAAAACTCGACCTGCGTAAAAAAAATAACTTTTAGTACAATTTTTAACTATTAGTTTAAAATTGTACTAAAAGTTATTTTTGGTCGTCGTCGGTCGTCGCCTAGCTGCCAGGCACCGGATGGTGCCAACGTTTGAGTGGAGTCCGTGCCCCAGAAGGGGGAGTGGCAAAGAGGGACAAATGGACGAAGAATAAAGAATTTGTAGAGAGTCAAGCATCGTGCGCGGTGGAGTGCAATCTGCCCTAGGCAGCCGCAATTCCGCGCGCATCTCTCAAGATTCGGCCACAATAACCGCGAGGTTGGTATGGCCATGGGTAATGGTGAGATTTGTTCCACGACCGAATACTTTTATGTAGGAAAATAGCATGAAATAAGACGCCATTGTGTTTAGATTATGTGCTGTCGTCTGTATATCATTAGTCTTGAATAGACCAAAGTTTAGACTTCTAATGCGTTATTAGAATGAAGCATAGAGTGGAAGGAATCTGTCTACCCGATGATTACTATTATGTAAAAGGAGGGCATCCTAATAAAATCAGTCAGCGGCAGCGCCGCCAGCAGCGCGCTCTCCTTCGTCGTCGCAGTCAGCTAAAACCTGGTCCGTGAGCACGTAGAATTTTGTCCAATGACCCCAAGCTATCCATCCTTATCGCTCGCGCGTAATTATGTTGCTGTTGCGCTCGCACACTCACTGCGGGGGCGCCCGTCGCACAGTCGCGACAGCAAAATAATTACGCGCGAGCGATACATTGGACAAAATTCTACGTGCTCACGGACCATGCTTTAGTCACCTGGAAGGCGTGCAGCAGCGTGGCGAACACGACGACGTCGGCCAGCGACACGCGCTCGCCCACCAGGAACGTGCGCGTCAGCAGGTGCGCGTCCAGTTGCTGCAGCGCCGCTAGCAGGTCATTCTTCGCGCGCTCTACGTTCTGCGGAACGAGAATACAGTCAAAACAACGCTAAAAAGAAAGATCAGTTGGAATAAGATATTACAGTGTCCCACTTCCAGAAAACTTGCATAAAATGCTAACACAAATGAATAAAAAATTAGCTTCAAGTAAGGTCAGTTGAAAGCTACAAAAGAGTTCTACAATCAGACTAAAATTAAAATAACCACAATGAATCGGCAGAAGAGAATTCAGTGGACAAAAAATTAAGAGAAAAACTTGGATGCCATCAACTGTAAGTCTGGCCGCACGCATACCACCGACTTTTAGTCGGCCGACAGTTGGGTCAGGCTGATAAATTAGTATGAACATGTATGAAAGTTCGCACATTACACAGACTTGGCATCGGCCGATTCTTCATCATCATCATTTCAGCCACAGGACGTCCACTGCTGAACATAGGCCTCCCCCAATGACTTCCACATCGCACGGTTGGTAGCGGACTGCACCCAGCGTCTTCCTGCTACCTTTATCAGGTCGTCGGTCTACCTTGTGGGTGGAAGTCCCACGCTGCGTTTTCCGGTACGTTTATTCATACAAATTAAAATTGAGCCCACTAAACTTCGGTGGTGTGCCTAGGCTAATAGTCGAATCCACTCAATGGGCCCACCTGCTTGTTGAAGGGCATGATGCCGAGGTAGGGGAACACCCAGGCGCAGGAGGCGGGCAGCAGCTCGCTATCAGCCCACGACATCCACTGCAGCACGCGCGCCTGCGACGCCGGGTCCGCGCCACGCAGCGCCGCTGACGACACTGCACCACGAAAATTATTATTGAACAAACAAAAAACTGAACTACGTAAAAATTAACTAATAACTACAGTCTTTTTCAAAATGGGCGATAACGCCCCCTTGTGGGCGCTGCAGGCTTAAAGGGCGATAAGAGACCCAGAAAAAAAATCGGGACGTTGTGTAGAGGCTTGGGAGGCGTCATCTACTAGGAGGACTCTTAGACATCGACTGAGCTCGACTCTTGACTACAAAAATGGGGGGCGCTAAAAAAGAATTTATTCTCAAAGTGGGCAGTAGACTAAATAAGTTTGGGAACCACTGAACTACTCAATAGGTTCTGAGAAAAAAAATCTTTTTTAAGACATTAAGGCGCCTAAAATCCGCTTTTGTTTTTTTTTTTTTTTCAATTTTAATATAGCCAGTGTCACTCTCACGATTAAAACGAATCTAACGACACCTCTCATGCTAAAATCGGTCAAGCCGTTTAGGGTGTAGGCCGTGCCAAAGAAATATACATACATTCGAAAAACATAACCCTCCTTCTGGCGCAGTCGGGTAAAAAGTCTAAATGGTAAGCTATGTGGACAATGTGACAGCTTTGTCAATTTATTATTATGGACACAAAGCGGTTGAGGACTTAGTAAATGGGACTTACTATATTTTCGGATCACTGTAAGGGGAAACTTTGGCTCTAATCATAAAAGGATCTGACATCTCACCTTTTCATAATGATGTCGATAAAGTTAGTACACAATTCGACAGGGCACTGTTAGATAGCGTTACCAATGCCTATTTATTTTTAGTTTAGCTAGATAGTTTACTCAATTTCAATAAGTTATGTTGAGCCAAGTTGCTCTCTAGAGTTATCTACAGTATTTATAAAATGGCTAACCATGAAAATATATTACTTAACTTTATTGTAATTAGTTCAACTATTTGAGCAGTTGTGCTGCAGTGAAGTACATTAGTGTATTATATACTTTATTTTTGCTGTAAACAATTTAAAAAAAGTCCTTTACCTACTAAACCAATCAATAAATGTAATCTGTCTGGATTATTATTACAATCCTTATTTAGTTATGCATAAAAAGACATTATTTTAAAAAGTTCCACATAATGCACTAAATTTTGTTGCAAAATAGCAGCTATTACAGTGACATAGATGCCACAGTATTTAGCTTGATATGCTGTGTACTTAATGGTTGGTCAGCTGTTACGATTCAGTAGGAAATGGGAGTATTTTATTTCATAATAAACTTACTCTATTAAACTATTAAATAAGTACTCAAGAAAGTGTCATTTGAAAGCCACTTCACTTCATTATTCAAGAATACTTAGTTCACTGAAAGATAAAAGAAAACTTATCTATTAAAAAAAATACTTTTTTTATCATTTCAAGAATGATTAGTACATTAAAAATTTCATTATTTTTCAGAGGTTCAAAATACATTATTTTGATAACAATCGCAATGAACAGTTTAGACCAGAGGTTAGGTTGGTTACCGATAATAAATGATGATGAAAATCTTACCGTAGTAAGCGATGGCATTGCTTTCAGTCAGGAGGACCTTTCCATCGGCACTTTCATATGCAGGCACCTAAAATTATTGCAAATATTACACGTCACAGCCACAAACATATGATTACTACCGGTTCACCATATTTCACATTCTTATAACTTTATCACATCCATTGAACTCACTTTTCCAGCGGGGAACTTCTTCAGAAAAGCTTCTGATTTGTTAGTTTCGCCAAAAACAAAGTTAGGAGCTACTTTTAGATCTACTCCGGAATACTGTGCGGCGATCAACGCCTTGTAAGCGCGGAAATTTTCCGGATAAGTGTAGAGTACCTAGAAAATAAAGATACACAGTAAAGAGGATCCTTTCGAAATTATTAGTTTTTCATTTACCACAAATCAAATAACTCGATTATTGAGATATTTCAAGGTAAATTTTGACCTACCCCGGCCGCCATGGTTATTTTTTCGGAAAGAGAGAAGGGGGAGGGGGGGTGACGACAGAACTACTGTCAGTTTGATTTTGACGTTTATTTTTTTTAACGAAAATGGTAGCAAGAAGAAATTCAATATTATTCATCTTAAAATTCTGTAGCTTGCACTTAGTGTAATTAATATTAATAGTTACTGTTCTGTGATTAAAAAAATGTTAAAAGTATTAGATACAAATAAAATACCTAAGCAATTATGAATTTATTTAGTAATAAAGGTCTGAGCAAGGTGCGGGGAATCTAAAATCGAATCCGTCAAAACTCCATACAAAAAAAGGCCTTTCGACCACTTTTCTAGTAGAAAAGTTTCTACTGCTTTGCGATTTTATTGTGCATTTTGTCAAGCTTTAAGTACTTAAAGGGTCTGTATTTTTTTTTGGCAGAGCACCGTAAAAAAAGCTGGATATTTTTGATGTCTTGGTTATTTTTAACTATGAATGTTAAAACTATTTATGTCAGAGCCCCGATTACGGTAACTTTTAACGTCTACAGTCCAGACGCGTTTCTGATTCTGCGATACGATTGGTCAAAACAGCTGACGTACGCTGTTGAACGACCAATCGTATCGCAGAATCCAGAAGCTCAGACTCAGATCTGGTAACACTGATTGATTATTTTTACTCTGCGCTGCGCGTTTTATTTAGATCGATGGTTCTTGCGTGTTTAATTTCTCCTGCGACAAGATTTTGTCGTAGAATTCCGAATCAGTGAAAGAATTCGTCATTTTTAATTGTTACTCACATTAAGTAAATCAATTCATCAAAATGGTGAGTAAAAACTTCACAACTGAGGGCACTCATCGCGCGGGTGTCACCGTTCTTGCTGCGATCATCTGCAGATAGTAAAATGAACTGGATTTTCTTATTATCATATGTTTTGTCCTTTTATTTACTTACATCTTGTACCATTTTATTAAACTCTATAAAATGATACCATGATTAAGTCCAAAATTCATTCATTCAGTAGGCAGGTACCTTACAAAAGTTATTTTCCTACTAGATTTGCTTGTATTATTTTAGCCATCTAAATTAATGACAATAAATTCATGATAGCATTAATGTACATTTCAGGTTTGTGTGATGCGATGTGAGATTTAATAATAATATTAAAATAATATTGATTAATGATTACCCAGATAATCATTTTATATCTGTATGGGCACTAACTTGGTACTATAATTTTTCAGGGAAACGAGAACTCAATTCCTATGGAACTATGTTCGAATTGTGAGTATTTCTTTTAATTTTATGATATTTTCTTCTTTGTACTTTCCACTTCTATATATTTTTTCTAATTTTAATTTACAGTGAGCTCCTAAAGCTTTATATGACTATTTGCCTTTAATAATATACTCATTCATAAGTATCTTAACTAGCTTGTGTGATTGAATAACAACAACTCATGATTTAATTATTGTGTCAATATCTCAATAACAGATTGCTTTCTAATTTCTATGTATGTCATTGAGTAATTGCTGGTAGGGCAAAAAAAGAATGAGACATGTATAGGCTCCTTAAGAGCATTTGACGATTTGCAAGAACTAATTTAATTAGTCTAAACAAATAAAGATAATTTTGATTTGATTTGATTTGATTTGAGTATGGCTGACTAAACTATTCCTCATAGTAATTGAAAAGTATCAGCAGTACATTATGATAGCAAGGATCTAATGTAAGAATATAGGGTGTGCAAATGAAGCGTAACAAGAGGTTTGTTTTCAGCACGTGTTAACTGCATTGATTTTAAGGTGGAGAACTGTGAGTGTCGTAGTGTCACTCGCCCGGCTCCAATGTTCATCTACATGTTAGCATATCGCACTTACACTGTTACAGTCCAGAACAATTTTTCAACTTGTCTTAATCAAATCGTAACATTAACTTCCACCAGGATTACACAGTACTAATCTTACATGAACTCAAGTTTTTGGGTTATTTTCATTGGCGTAATGATGAGTTCTTCAAGGAATGTACCAGCCTACTAAGAACCATTATTGTATTAATGCTCTCTTCCTTTCTCTCTGATTTGTGTTTTCTGTACTATCTCTATCTTCGTGAGCGGTCTTCAGCTGTGACTTGGAACACAACTTATTAGACAGTAGTTGTGACATTTATTGTTTAGTTCACAGTTACATGACACATTGTACGCATAATTCCTCCACCTTGACAATAAATTACGAAAATTGTTCTGGATAAACATGATAGCATTTTAATTGCATAGTTTTGTTTGGTTAGTGCATCTCTGTCACATTTGGCCTCTAGTGGATAAGGTGTCATTAGAGTATTGCTATGGATGTTTACAATAGTTGGCTACAATGCTGTCACACAGGTGCGAGGAATCTATGCAATTGGGAGAGGTCAGCTGTCTAGTAGGGTTGAGCTTGCTAAGTGAAGGTTGTGGCGTGGCGCTGTGTGAACTAGGTGCATGGAGTATGTTGATGTCGGGTTCTGACCAATGTTTTAGCTGACTATACAATCATTATTGTAACAGAGTTTATTAGAAACACTTATGTTGACTTGCTCGTCAGATGTTCTATGATTTTTTCCATAAATAGAATTAGAAAATTAGATTTAATGTGATGTGTATTGTCATTTTATATATTTTTTTACTTTATTTTTCTCAACAATTCATGGGAATATACTATAGTTGATGCATATTCATAATTACCTAATAAGTAAAAAGAAAATTTTATCAATCTTTAAAAAAATTGATGGCCCCATTTGAATATCAACTATATTATACTTTTATTGTTTAACTGTTCTTTCATAAATGTTAGGAGTAAACTAAAGTTTCTTTGTGTTCAATGTTTAAATGTCACATGTGTTTCAATGAACAGAACGTTACACGCGACGGCCTTCGTTTAGGTATTTTTGTATGATAATAATGTCATTACTACTGCGACGCCGCTTGCAGCAACAATGCGCACCGTCACAGCCTGTCGGCAACAGTCCACCCAGTCCGATAATGGAAAAAAATATTTTATAACGATTTAATATTGTCGCTATTATTGTTCACGTTGTAACATTGATTCTCTATAATTATTGTCTGGGTCATACCTATTTCGAATGAAGTTCTAGACAGATTTTAGCTCAAGGAATAATCAATTTAAAAGAAGCAGTGATATTTCAGAAGACTTCTTTATACAATCAATCAATGGAGCTCGCGTTTGGGCTGTGGCAGTGTGTTAATGAGCGGTATGAGGACACAATCTCGTTGGAATAGGTTTTGGCGTGGCTACAACCGCTGACCTTTCTCAGCTTCTTAGTTGTTGTGTGTCGCCACACCACCGACCGGCCGACTGTAGGCAGTGCGTGTTCACATCGCGCCCGCGGGCGAATTCGGGTGCGGTCTGACTTTGATACTTAATCCCATCCCAACTAATATTATAAATGCGAAAGTAACTCTGTCTGTCTGTCTGTCTGTCTGTCTGTCTGTCTGTCTGTCTGTCTGTTACGCTTTCCCGCTTAAACCTCGCAACCGATTTTGATGAAATTTGGCATAGAGATAGTTTGAGTCCCGGGAAAGAACATAGGATAGTTTTTATCCCGGTTTTTGAAACAGGGACGCGCGCGATAAAGTTTTTCTGTGACAGACAAAATTCCACGCGGGCGAAGCCGCGGGCGGAAAGCTAGTGTTTTATAAACAAAATGTTACCAACATTTAATCAATAAGTGAACCAGCTTGTTTAACCTTATTGTGTGGCATGGCCCACTGTAACGGTTTTTAAATTTCATACGCCATGATTGAAGTCGCTGGTCGCGGTGTGGACACGCGCTCGCGCGGGCTCCAGCCGCGTGGGATGTTCGTTCGCAAACAGATAAGGACTCGGATTACCGCCATGACGCTTTTGCACATGAATATATGTGTAAATTATCGCTTTGTATGCCTATTTATAGAATAGCGCAGCGAGCACTGAATGGCAAAGTTTTAAACGCTGGAAACACCCTCTGGGTGCGATTATCTGAAACCTTTCAGTTTCTTGCTTATTTTAAAACGTTGCAATTCAATGCGTTCTGTTTTTATTAATAAATGTTTTCGTTTATATCTGTATGTATGTAATTACGTATGTATTTTATTTATACAAAATGTATGATAGATGAGAATAGAAAGCGGGCCGAATCGGTGATCGGACTGTGAAATGGTTTTTACCTCACCGCCGAGTGCCGAGCATCCGTCGGGTTTTCTTAGTCGACGCTAGCGTCACCCAGATGTAGTTTACATGTTGTTGTCGCTCACACTTGGCCGCCTTGAATCAGTACAAATGCCTTGCCTTGATTCAGTTCAAGCGATGTTGGAATCCTTCGACACGTTTTCCGGATTTCTATTAACTGTATTATTGTGATACACAGTTAAATCTCACGCTCCGGAGCAAAATGATTAGCTTATAATGGGCTTAAAGTGCTCACAAACGATTGTAAGTAGAGATAAAGTAGTGGCATCAAGGCTGCCAAGTGCGCGCGGCGTACTCGCGCGACCCCCGCTAACCCCGTGTGCCCGCCAGTCGACGCGGACGAGATCCGCCGCCTGGGCAAGCGCTTCCGCAAGCTGGACCTGGACAACTCGGGCGCGCTGTCCATCGACGAGTTCATGTCGCTGCCCGAGCTGCAGCAGAACCCGCTTGTGCAGCGCGTCATCGACATCTTCGACGCCGACGGGAACGGCGAGGTGAGCTCATCTTCTTCAGTTGTCTGCCATTTACCTAAAACCTTCACAGCCAATAAAACGCAATACGCTCCTTATGCTCCGAAGATGCGGCACTTTTGGTGAAAAAATCTCGATGATTCAGAGCGGGTTAAGAAGTAGTAAGATTTATTACTCAAATGAGCTAGTTACTGGACAGATACATAATTGATATTTCGTTTTTTACTTTTTATAAATCATAGTACTTTCTACACCAATCCACTACCTAGGCCCAAATTAAGCATATTACATAGGTATGCTACGGCCAACTAGATATCGTATATAAACATACTTACTTACTTAGCTCGAAACAAAGGAGATAAGCAATTCAGTAAGAGCAAACAATCCATTCATATCTTAAACCTAATTCCAAATGTGCCGCACGTTCATGATGAGATAACTGCACCGGTTGGAATAAAAATAACAACATTGCTCCTTTTTCCTTGTTTCTATGATTTACTATTGTCCTAACAATAGTAAAGTTCTCTAAAATAAGCTTCTTACAATCTCGATAGATTTATTTTGTTGATAAACAAACCGTTTTGCCGCATTGCGTTGTTGTCGTCACTCGTCAATCATGGCGGTGATGCGCGACGAGTTGATTTACGACATGTCTAATTTAATGGCCCTTATCGATGTGACACACGGTGTTTTACGATAAATAAACTTGTATCTTTAACATCTTCATGCTCGTATACTACGGTTATGAAATGCGAATACTTTTATTACGTTCATATAAACCGCGAACAGAATAGGATATAAAAATTCACAGAAATGAAAGACGGTACGGGGAGACTGGGTACGGTTGTAACAGGGAACGGTTGGAACAACTCGACTGCTGCTCGGCAGGTGAGGGGTTCAAAGGGAAGGGTATACGAGCGACAAGTCAAATAAATAAGGTTGTTGTATGCCCTTCTTGTACCCCTCACCTATCGAGCATTGTCCGATAACATTCGAGTTGTTACAACCGTACTACATTGCGTCGCGCGACGGTTGCAGGTGGACTTCAAGGAGTTCATCCAGGGCGTGTCGCAGTTCAGCGTGAAGGGCGACAAGCTGTCCAAGCTGCGCTTCGCCTTCCGCATCTACGACATGGACAACGACGGGTACATTTCCAACGGGGAGCTGTTCCAGGTACGCTGCGCCTCATTAGCGGGCATAGGGTCCAAAGGAGAATCTGAAAATGATTCTGGTGTTATTTGAGATGCATAATTCGAAACTCTAAATCATCCTAAAGTAAGTTAGAATTTGGAGGGCGCTATTGAAATGGTCCGTCGGAAGACCAACTTCTTAATAACGGGAGCCTATTGGCGCAGTGGCCCACTAATTTTCTTTTTGTTTCTCGTATTGTGTTGTTATTGTTTATAAATTGTGCTCACTGTGTTCAATAAAGTCCATTCTATTTTAAAATGGTCCGCGCGGCGTTGCAGGTGCTGAAGATGATGGTGGGCAATAACCTGAAGGACACGCAGCTGCAGCAGATCGTGGACAAGACGATCCTGTTCGCCGACAAGGACGAGGACGGCAAGATCTCCTTCGAGGAGTTCTGCAACGTGGTGGGCAACACCGACATACACAAGAAGATGGTCGTCGACGTCTAGGCGCCGGCGCCGCTCGTCTCTCTCGCTCTAGCTAGAACACTATCCAATTGCGCGCGGCCGCTGAGCACGCGCGCGGCACACACGGGCTCGATGTGCATCCTAAAGGAACATTTTACTTACAAATATCTAAATTCAGAATTATTTTTCCCGATTCGATTGATTTCGGGTCTAGTTTGTAGATTTCTCGCCGTCTTCGTGTAAGGAATTCGGATTTTTATCAGTGTGTGCATCACTCGGGCCTTCAGTCGCCACACCCAGGGTCCTATTACCGTAAATACCACAGTCGCTGTGTGTCGGAGGCAGCCGAGACGCTGACCTGAACGATAATCAAAAACAGGACACACAGTGGAGCAGGTTTGTGCCATACGCCGGCGACGCGCGCGCCCGGGCGATGCACGTGTCGCGCTTGTTCCTACGTTTGACGTCAGACGCTTCCATCGCCGTTATGAGCGCTAGTCGCCATCCCCTATTGTAGTGTGATTTGCAAATTTCAAAAATCTCGAATTATTATTGCATTTTGAGGCGCTATCGTTTAAAAAATTTCACTACTACTTATTCGGCTGACGCATACAGACAAGCGACATCTTTATCGTAGTATTAGCGTCGGATCGGAGCGCGAGCCCGGGGCCGCGCGAGGCAGCCGCCGCGCGCCCTCTATCGTAATTCATTAATTTACATTTTATCTCTTAAGATTTACATATGTTTACAAATTATATATTATACCTAGGTACGTTAGAGAAACTTTTATCGTAGTCAAATCAAATGTAGGGTTTTATTATTTTGTTGTGGTAATTTTAGTTGGTATTGTTATTTAGTATTTTATTTTGTACACTTTTATCGGAGCCCGGCGGCGCTCGGCCGCCGAGCTGGCCGGCCGTCGGATCGTCTACTTATTAGATCTTAGCGTAGCGTCGTGTATTTATTTTTTGAGATATCATGTTTTACCGTAACCAGTTTTCGCTAGTGTTTTCTCGCTGCATAATTTAATCTGTGGAATTATATAAAAAGACATTTCTTGTATAATTCGGGTCAGTATTTTGACAACCAAAACACCGAGGGCCAAGCCTCGGAAGAATCAAATACTTTCTTCGTCGTAGAAGGCTGTCAACCGAGCCCATCGGTCGGGTCGTTTTACTGTCACATTACTGACACGGAATAAGTAATCTTCCAAGTTCGGTTAGTCTGACAAGGGTGCCTCGGAGCAAGCCCGCGGGCGGCGGGCGCCGCGTGCGCACTGACCTCGTTGCCTCACCGACTCGTGTACGAGCGACGTCGCCAAGTGAGATACGAGTGAGTGCCAGCGTGATGTCTGTCGTGCCGTTGGCGTCTTACAGTAATATTTTATTAAGGATTTGAAACACCGGATGCGTTCGGTGTTAAGGTCAGGTTAAAGTGAACGCAGCCCGCATCGTGTAAACAACGTTGTCGGCCAGGCCGATCAGCGGTCCAGGCAAAACGATCTGTCAGCGATAGTGACGAAAAGATCTGTCAGAGCGGTGCGTTCTTGCACGTTCCGTGCGTGATACGAAATGTATAGAGATCGACAAAGTTGTTCATACATGACGCTGGCTGCGTTCGCTTTGACCTGACAGCTCGCAGAATGCATCCAGTGTGACAAATCCTGAAGGTGTTAACGAGCGTTGTGCTCAGTTCACCGAAGTCTTATCACTACTTATTCTAAAATATTTTTAAATAGTCGAATGTAAACTTTTAATCCTGATGAAATCAGAATGACTTGTGAGTGAACCGAGCATATTTTACGAGTAGATACTTTGAGCGCTGAGAAGAAATCCAAAACCCTCCTTTCTCTCCCTCACCGATTCCTACTCGAATGTTTCCATAAGTCACATTTTCTACAATGCATTTGTGCCATTTTGTGAAGCCACGATAGGCGAACGGTGAAGGGGTCTGACTGGCCGACTCGTGATCCGGGGAACGCGGGTTCGGACCCCGCCGCCGCTCGACTATTGTGGTGAGCTCACTCGTGATACAAGCATATTTAGCTTAGTACGAGGGCAACGGGAATATTAGTAATTTATGTAATAACAAATTACTAATACCTAATCGTTAAAAAAAAAATGTACAGTCTCGATGTTACAGCTAGACTTAGGGGCTCGCGTCTCAGTCCAGTAAAAACCACTGGCGAATACATACGTGTTCGCCTTTGCTCTGTCTGTAACATTGCAGCCTGAGCTCCTTCGTGGAAACATTCGTCCCTCCTGACCCTCCTCTCCCGCAGGTGCTGAGCGCGCTGAAGTGAGGCCGGCCCTCGCGCCTCGTCCACGTCTTACCAGTTCTAGTTCACTTAGATTACGTTGGTTATTGTACAAATTATTATATGTATATTGAATAACAATATTGTTTTGTGTTATATTTTATGTAATTTATCTAATATTATAGGAAGAATCTAATACAGTAATAAGAGAACATTTCTAATAGCAATACTTACGATGTAACCGTTTTCGCTGCCGGCGCAAGTCGGCGGGTCGTTGATACTGTCCGCTCTGTTTTGTCTAAAGTTTTACTTTTTAGGGTAGTCTCACTGAGCAGTGCGGTGCTGCACACGACACGGGCCTTCTGGGCCGTTAAGCGAATGTACTGAGTGCCACTTAATTTGTAAGTTTTATATTTCAAGTCGCGCATCTCGGCTGATGTCATAGCCATGATCGACTATCTTTGGGAAAATAAATTGGCATCCTTTCTCATTTGATGCGCGCTGTTAATTTCTGGCCGTGGCGCACCGCACTGCGTAGTATTCGCACGAGAATCTTGGTAATCTCTAGTCACAGCTGTTGTGCGTTATACAGAATATACTTACTCTTAGCGTAACCGGGCGGCGTGCGGCCACCGCACTGTTGATGTAATGTTTGTCCTCTAATGTGGGTATCGTTCGCAGCTTTAACTACGTGAATTTCAATTGTAGCAATACACACTTCGGAGCCTTACTCGGGATAGAACTCTCGTTAGTAGTTCGTCTCATAGATTTTGTATTTTACCGTGTTTTTAACATTCGCAGTATAACTGGCGCACATTGCTGTTTTTATAAAACTGTGTGGTTGTCGTATCCGAATGTACACGTAGTTTACTTAAGGCTATTTACATACGAGTATCAGGTGTAAACGCTTCAATGTTATTCTATTTAAAGTTGAGATTGCAGCATCCTGTTTCAGTTTGTCCCCAGTCAGCCGTTCGTAGTAGTCGAACTCGATGTGGAGCTAAGCAGGCGATCGTGGTTGTCGAACTGGCCTCGTGGCTCCCGCCAGGCGGCGCCGGGGACGGCTGAGGCGGGGTGCCGCGCCTACTCACTTAGGGTTGAATGTAAACGTTCATGTGTTGTCTGCTCATCTCCATCATTAGGTAGTGTCCTACTTAAGTCTACTCTAAAGTGGAACTGATATAAGTTTTATTAAATATTGCGATTTCAATTTGTGTTATAATTTACCACCTCCTTTAAATCATACAAATCAATTAATTCTCAGGAATGTTGCTGGTTCGAACCCTGCCACTACTGGACAATGAAACTTTTAACACAAATGTTAGCTTTTATCAGGATTTTTAATGGAACTTGTGCAATACAAATTAATAACATTTCTAATAATATGTTCAATACCTTATGGTAGATAAAAAATATCTACATTGTTCAATTTAACATATTTGTTTATGCATAGATAGATATGGATAGTAGGGTGTCCCGTCGTTGTATGGGAAAAAATTTTTTTTGAGCTACGGTTACGCAAGAGGTATCAAAAGTTGCGTTTTGACATATAGATTACGATTAGCATTAAATTTAATGAGATATCTGTCATCTTGAGGCCTCTACCTGTCCTTAAAATTTTTTTAAATTGCTATTTTAGGGGTTCCTAACATAAACTATTAATAATACAAAAATAGCGTTTTTATGAAATTTGAGGGTACACAATGAGTCACAGCAAGGTTTAAAATAGTTTAAAAACCAATAAATCCATAAATACTTTCAAAACAGAATTGGCTTTTTGACCAGAATTAGGCATTTACGCGCGCGATTTTAATGTATTCCTAATTAATCCATGGGTCAGCCAAGTTATCGATTTAATTTGAGGATACTCAATTCCCTTCTCACAGCAGGTTAATAATTTTATTACGCTATTATAAAACAATGATTGGCATCTCTAAGTGGAAGCTAACAAAAATGGCAGTCAATTCATTGAGTTATAATGTACTACGTACTAGAGAAGACATGTCAACTAGACTGTTTCTGGCACGCAAACAGGTCCATGGACCGAAATTCAATTAGGGGTGTCCACTTTGAAAAAACATCGATGTTTTTTTCGATTCGATATTTTGAAACTGTACATCGATTTCTTTCGATGTATTGGAAGAAAACATCGATGTTTTGTATAAATCGAGTACTTTTTTAAGACTTTTTAAAATCCACTAATTTAAGCATTGTATTATTAAAAAACAGTAAAAGCCATACATGAGAAAAATCTTCATTATACAGTGTGAGTCACGTTAAAGTGCACATATGAAAATAGGTGAAACTAGACCTATTTTTATCGACAAAAAAGAGGTCAACAATTTTTGAGATTTATTTTTATTTTTTATTGGATTTTTTTTCTTCCAATTACTTCTCGTAAAGAAAACGTAATAACTTTTAAACTAAGAGGTATATCCTTATCAAATAAAAACAGTAATAATGCTAAATAATAAGCGATACTAAAAAAATACATATTAAATACCTAGAAAATGCCAACAAATAATAAAAAAATATACATTTGAAAAAAATCTGCTTTTAAAATTCGTGTTTTTTTGGTTATTTGATAAATTTCTCCAAATAATGCCCCCATAACAGGTGGTTTTTATTACTTTGTATTATTTTTTATCGTATTACCTTTGTAAAACCAAAAATCGCATGTCACTATCCCTATCACAACGTTTGCAATGATAGTTTGAACTAAGCCTCTCCGGGCGGGCCATTCAACGCTTCGTTAACAACGAAACTGAAACTGGCTCTAGATTTGTAATTTTGATAAAGACGAGTTACATTTCAAATAAAAACAAAAGATTTCGAAGTAAAATAAGCATTTTAGTTAAAATTAAAATTGTCTCCACCTGTAGTGGAGAATAATGTGGTGGCAGGCCTTTGTTTAAACGATCATAGCAAATGTTGTGATAGGGATAGAGACATGCAATTTTTGGTTTTACAAAAGTAATACGATAGAGAATAATACAAAGTAATAAAAAATACCTGTTATAGGGGCATTTTTTGGAGAAATTTATCAAATAACCAAAAAAACACGAATTTAAAAGCAGATTTTTTTCAAAAAGTATATTTTTTTATTATTTGTTGGCATTTTCTAGGTATTTTATGTATTTTTTTAGTATAGAAAATACCAGTTAACTATTCTCAAGGCGATTATCGATTACATTAGATTTTAATCGGGAACAAAAATAGTTAACGGCTTAAGCATCAGTATGAAGCCCATACGCACTTGTAGCGATTAGCCACAGTCCCCTCAGTTGTGAATTCGGAATCGCTAGTTATAATTTTAAAATCGCATCACAGAGTGAAGTAACTAACACCAAAAAACGGCAGAGCGAAGTGATTTCGAATGTTTCAACTGCCACGTTTTGTCACTAGATGAACATTTTTGCTATTGAGCAGTATGAAAATTATAAATAACACAATTTAGTCGATTTGTTTATGTTCACAAACGATTTATAATGTCTATGATGAGGCGACTGCAGGAACGTCACTATTCGCGCAATCCTAGCAATGAAGTACGACATTTTCTGGTGCAGATTTTATCGCCATAAATTATGAAACTTGATAGTCATGGATTTGACTGACAGCTGTCCGTCAAATTCCCGCCCCGCACCCCGCACTGCACATATTTTGTTCGCGATGTCTGTTCTATACGTAGTAATATTACTTCAATGAGTCAATTTTAGAAAATCAACCATAACTTGAAAACCATATGTCCGATTTTATTAC